TTCGGGCTTCTGGGCAGGTCATAAAATAATGCCTAATCAAATACCTGTTAACACAATAACCAGTTTCTTATATATATATATGAAAGGTTTTTTATTCTTAATTCTCAAATTATTTCACCCTAACCTTCTAAATTCATAATTTTTTTTAAATTATTTCACTGCATTCTAAATTATTAATTTCTTAGATTATTTCACCCTACCAATCTAAATTATTTCTCAATTATTTCTTTTAACTTTAAAGTATTTTCAATTTTATTGTATTTCTTTAATTGTATGTTTAATAAGTTTTACTTTTTAATTATATAATTTGAATTTTTAAATTTTATAATTGAATTTTGTATTATAGACCTTTAAAATTTAAAATTTAGATTTTTTATACATTTTTATATAATATAATTTAAAGAAAATAAAATATAATATAATATAAATTGGGTAATGGGGGTATTCAAATCCGGGTATTCGTATTTTTGGGTACTCGAAGTATTGGATTCTTCGGGTAGTATATCTGTCAGTTCGTGATCCGGATTGTTCAGTTCGGGTACTCGTTTTAATACACAATCTACACACAAAAATTAGCGATTTAAAGTTAGTTTTAAGGATATATATATATATATATATATATATATATATATATATATATATATATATAAGCTATTTTCAAAGGAAAATATTAAAAATACTAAAATCGATCATTATTTTTTTCTTTGAAACACATTAAAAATTAATAAAAGTTATTTAAGAAAAATAAAACTTAAAACTTTTAAGTTAAAAGTTTATAATACAAACCTAGAAAGAATTTAAATTTAGCTTAAAAGTAAAAATATTAAGAAACCTAAAATAAAAATATAATTTAAATCAATATATATATATATATATATATTAAAACTATCGGGTTGGGTCGGGTACCCGGTTATAAAAAAAAGTTGGCTTAGACTCAGCCCAACTACCTGAAAAAAATCATGGTCGGTTACTCTGCCTGATCGGGTAACGTTTTTTTAGATAATTACCCATTTTTTTAGGTTCATGATAACATGCCAGATTAACGGAGTCGAGTATTTTTTAACACCCCTCTATCCATGACCCGAAAAAGGGGTACTTGGGTTTTTATGGGTATTCAACTTACATGTACTAGGAATTAACAAGTCAGGGCATAGGTTGATATTTTAGTATCCAGATATCTTGGTTACTCGAAAATGCGGGTATTCGAATTTGAGCACCCCTAGTCATCACTAGGAAAATTTACAATCATAATCATAAATTAAACTCATAAGTAGAACATCTTTTTATAACTATTGACATAAAAAATTTGTCATTTAAGATTACTTAAAGACCATATAAGGAAAATGTTAAAAATTTAATAAAATATAGAGATGAGCAAATTTGATTGCACAAATGAATCATAAAAGATGAATAAGTTATTGAAAGATCACTAACAAATCACAAATTGAACAAATCACAAATTAGAGTTGAATGACTTGAGAAAACTATCCATAAAGTTTAAGTAGGGAGGATTATCGTGATAATAAATAAGCATCATCTTGATATCAATTCGTGAGATGTCAACTTCAATCCTAAAAACTAAAGATGACATAAAACAATAAAAAAAAGACATCATGAAAACGAAATAATAATTAAACGATCAAAACATACTATAAGACAGAGAAAAAGGCATCATGAAAACAGTTATTAAAAAAATAAAGATAACATAAGACAATAAAAGAAGAAAATAAGAAATATCAGTGGTAATGACCGGCCCAAAATTGATGCCATCGTCTACGATCAAAGATTATGTGTGTGAAAATATTAGGTCGAAAATTACAAATATATGATGAACTAAGTTCAAGTGAATTGAGTATTCTAAAAAGAAGATTTTTTGTTATAAGATGCTCAAACATGTATTTTCATTAATTTTGATTATGACACTAATATGGTTTCCAGTTAACAAAAAATAAAGACATATATGATAACATGAATCTGCACAGGCACATTAATTTGATGATTTTGATTGTCTTTAATCTTACTTGCCTCATCATCTAAATCTAAAGATCATAACACTTTATCTATAAATTACCTAAATCGTAAAATATGGAGTATACACACGTGCTTAATAAATAGGCACATGGGAAAAAGCTTTAGATCAAATTAAAAGCCGTTCTCATAATTTAAAATTCAACTGAACTCTTATGAACAAAAGAAATATCTTTTGATTTCTTTCAATATCTTCTGTCAACAGTCAAATGGATTAAAGATGGTTTTTGCTGTGAAAGGGGCCATCTGATTTTTTTTTTTATAAACTCTCAATTGAATACACTCTTTTATAAGAGCTCTTCAATTTATTTATTTTTTTTGAATTTTTTATAAACTTTTTTTTTTTACCTTTTAAGGCTTAGAATACAAATCATCATGAATTTATATCACTTTGGTTAAACCGATACCTAGTTTTTCCTTGTCAAATTATCATCTGAATTTAATAAATTTTTTTGTTGCCCTCTTGATTCCAGGATTTTGCCTTGTTTAATTCGGATCGACCCGTGTCGCACACTTGACATTTGGTGTGTGACTTTAATAATTTTTTTAGTAGTCTAAGATAATTACAATATAATATTTATTTAAATTTTTTATTATAAAATTATATTATATTTTTTATCACCATTGAAAAGACATTATACCCGAGACCGCTGCTGTCAATAAGCTTCATCTCGAGTCGAGCCAACATGTGTTGAATATCATTCTTAAGTGTGATAAACTCACTACTCCCCATTCGAAAGAGGTCCCTGCAGAAGCTTATCAAATGTAAAGCCCGTAGCTCCTGCCCAAGCCTCATGCCTCCATGGACACACATTGAATCATTAAAATAATGATTGTCGCACCGATGAGGTCCCAACGGTGTAGGGGAGACCAGTCTCTCGGAATAATGTAGCAATGGTCCAATTCGGCAGCAAATCCACTATAAACTTGGCATTGAGAATGAATCCGTATCCTTGAAGTAGAAGCCACAAATGCGTAGGGAAGTAGCGGAACCCTCAAGCAATGTGTACCATCCTTTGCACGGTTGAATTTCCCATAGGTTATTCCGTGCAAGAGCAGAGCGAAAACCAGCAATGTGGGATCGTGGCCGTCTCTGGCCCCAAATTTTCTTAGAATCGATTAAGATCTCCTTAAAATCTCCCATATTAACCATGGCAACAATGAAGTGGGATCAAGTCTGTCCAACAAATCTCATGTTTCATAACGACGACGACTGTCGCTGGAGCCATGAAGCCCGGTGAACTAAAAAGGATCAACCCCACAATGAATAATATAGTCAATATGAACATTAGAATACGATAATAAATATACATCAACATTAGAATTCCAGAGAAGTATTAAACCAGTACAAGTGAGACTATTGTCAACAAATAAACATCCTTCCATGCATAATGCATGTTTCAGACTATTGTCATGTTTCAAAAGTTGAATGCTCAATTAAGTATAATAAAAAGATAGCGCAAAAAATTAAAGGGCTAATGAAGACGTGGCTTTGAATATTGCCGATACAGATGGAAGTTGGAAAAATGATGTGTTTGACATTTGTGGATGTGTATTGACAGCCCAACAATTCATGTGATTATGCTTTTGTCACTTAACATTTTTTTTTCAAAATCATGCTTAACGTTACGTTTTGATTTCATTTTAGTTATCCGTTATCGAAATTTTATTTAAATGATGATGTGGAATTACTTTATGGTTACACGTTAATATCATTATTATTATTTTAATGATAAGTGATCAAAACGAAACCAAAATATAATGTTAAGTATGATTTTAAAAAAATAGTTGATTGATGAAAACGAAACTGCAGAAATAGTTGAATGAATAAATAATGTAATATATCCTATTGAATATTAACTTAATCATTTATTATATATATGCATAATGCATCCATGCATGCATATAGCAATAACTCCAAATGGTGGAGGCTTTGAGGTGATCAACGGTTTAAAGAACAAAAATGGAGACTGAAGTTTAATGATAAGACTTGGAGAATCTCCAACAACTTCATTTCATATCCACATCATTATGGTCATCCACATTCAATCGAGAAATCTCAACCCCCAAATGAATTTACGCCGTCCAAAATATTATACCATACAACACAAGATAAGCTAAAATAATAAAGACCTAAGATTTATATAATATAAATTGTATATATAGTTTAAAGGTTTCATCAGACAATATCTTATTATGTAAAGAGTTGTTCGATTTCTCTTCGGGGGTTTCCTGAGTTGAACATCATTATTCTCATTGTCACTTTCATTCAGAGATGAATGCAAGATATTATGTTAAGAAGTGAAATTTTTAAATTTTAGAAAATGACGAATTTATAAAATTTCCGATATTATTTTAATATTTTCGATAGAGCGTTATCTAAAATGTTAATTCTATTACCTAATATGTTAATCAGAAATGTTACTTTCTCCGTAATATTTCCGGTTGCAACCGAAAATATTAAAAAGATTAACATTTTAAGTAACGAAATTAATATTTTAGGTGGTATTCCACCGAAAATATGAAAACAAAATTAACTATTCCGGTTGCAATTTTTAGTCTTATATTAAGTTGTATTTCTTGAGACAATCCTCACAAAATTATGTAAAAAAATAAAAACCGAAACCAAACAATCATATGAATCAATAGGGGAAGGGTGGTTGCGTCACCCCCACCACTGAGCACAATTTCCATTGGTATTTGGGATATATAATAAGACAGGAACGCTTCATCAGAACACTGAACCAAAAAAGCACCGAGACAAGGGCGAGTTCACGTGTAGAAATCTCGTAGGCCCACTCGGGAAGCCATTAATGGGGACCTATAGAAGAAGTTGGCCGTTTCCTCCCACTGGAGTTCCCAACATCATATAGAGGTTTTTAGCCCTCTATTTTCATCCTCCTTTTTTTCTCTCTCTGTTTTTCTGTGGGATATACCATTAGAATTGTAAGGTCATGGAGGAAATTGGGGGTGTTTTTTTTTTATTATTCATGTTTTTTGCTCGAGGGAAATTAGATAAAAAGGTGGAAGCGGCAGAATCGGATCTTTTAAGGTATCTTAGGTAATCTTGCCTTTTATAATGTCCAGCAAGTGCATTATTTTTTGCATCTTAGGGAAACTTAGCATCATATATAAAGTTAAACACCTTTTTAAAGCTTTTTCTTGAGCCAAAAAGGTTAAAGAAAATCTGTTTTTTTGAGTTGGAGAAGGAGGAGGAGATTCAAAGCCGTGCAAGAAAAGAACACTATAGGTGTCTTATCCGTGTTGCCTATATAAAAGCAACAAAGCTTCATATTTCTATTATTTTGGGTGATTAAATTTTGGTGCGATATAATGGATTTCTGGCCAGAGTTTCTTGCAAGTAGCTGGGGAAAAGAATTTGTTGCCGGAGGTTTCGGTGGCATGGCCGGCATCGTCTCCGGTTATCCGCTCGACACCCTCAGAATACGGCAACAAAGCACGGATTCGGGCTCGGCCTTTAGCATCCTACGTCGGGTTGTTGCCAGGGAAGGACCTGGGGCACTCTATTGTGGCATGGCTGCACCATTGGCGTCAGTCACCTTTCAGGTTCTTTTCTCTCATCTATGGGGATGGCTAATTGAATTGTTTCGGTCTAAAGGTTTCTTTTTGTGGATTTTGCGTGATATTTTTTTATGTTTTAAGTTATCTTTCTTTTCTGTGGCATGGAACCTTATCAGGATCTAGCTGATTAACCCATCAATCTTATGTGGTACCCAAATTTCCATTCTTATGTTTATTGAAAAGTTGGTGCTTTGCTGATTACATATATATTTGTTGAATGCCATTGTCTATGTATTTGGCCTTATACGGTTCCAACAGCTTATCAAATGCTACTAATAATTGTTTTCGGCATTGGGTGTAATAATCTTATTGAAATATTATATGTTATATAAATAGGACACGATCCAATTACATTGTGTAAATTTTTTTTAGTTTTATATTTTTAAGACCATTTGATGAGAGCGATTAACTGTTGAGTTTAACAAAGAAGATATTCACCGGGGGGAAAAATAAAGAGTCAATATCAACTTTTGATTTCCCTCAATATAACGATCTTAAATAAAATGTAAAACTAAAAGAACTTTACACAGTCTAAGCAAATTCTAACCCTATATAAATTGTGATTTTTTTAATATTTCGCGATTAAATAAATTTTGACACATTTTCGTTACATTGAAAATTCAGTTGTCTGCAAAATATTCGAGATAAGAGCTTTCATTTTATGTTAGAATTATGACTTTGAATAGGGCAAAAGGTAGTTCTTACGGAAAAGATTTGTGCATTGCAGAATGCTATGGTTTTCCAGATATATGCCATTCTTTCACGAGCATCCGACTCGTCTGCTTCCGCCGCCGATCCACCTTCCTACAAGGGTGTTGCACTAGGAGGAGTCGGAACAGGGGCCTTACAGAGCATCATGCTTGCTCCGGTAGAACTAGTAAAAATCCGCCTGCAGTTGCAGAAGACAAGTTTTCCAGGTTCTCAATCAGCTAGTGCTCATAAAGGGCCAATTAGTGTTGCTAAAACCATACTAAAAACAGAAGGCTTGAGGGGACTATACAGGGGTTTTACCATCACTGCCCTTCGAGATGCGCCTTCTCATGGCTTCTACTTTTGGACGTACGAGTATATGCGAGAACAGCTTCATCCAGGTTGCAGAAAGAGCGGCCAAGAAACCCTCAGAACAATGCTGATAGCAGGAGGTTTAGCAGGGGTTGCTAGCTGGGTTTGCTGCTATCCCTTGGATGTTGTAAAGACTAGACTGCAGGCTCAGTCACCGGCCTCCCCACAGAAGTACAATGGCATCATTGATTGTCTCCAAAAAAGTGTAAATCAGGAAGGATATCGCGTTCTATGGAGAGGACTAGGGACTGCGGTTGCTCGAGCTTTTGTAGTCAATGGGGCTATATTTTCTGCTTATGAGATTGCATTGAGGTGCTTATTCAACAATAAAAACATTCAGACTGATAACACAGTCTAGAATAAACTGGAGTTTACAAAAGAATCGAGATGGTAAAAAAAATGCACCATGTCCATGAGATGATAAATCAACAACAATTTATTCATAGCTAATCAGAGCAGGCCAAGGATCATGTATGATATGCCAAGATGTTCTATAAGTGAAACAAGTGAATAAAAGTAAAGGTAATCTGCCTTACCTCTCAGCAACTGAAAAGCGTCATCTTCAGAGTATAGAAAAGCCAACATCTTATCCTCATTCTTGCTGTTAAATAATATGAATCAAAGTGGATACGCTCCCATCTTATAAATTTATCATGGCTTATCATATCCACAATGCAGTGTTATAACCATCAAACTTAAGTAGACTCTCTTTGTCATCAAATACTCGAATTTCTAGTATTTCTAATATTAGTTGCACTTCTAAATTGTCGAGCACGTACTGTCATTACTGATTACAGCTGATTTGATTTGCTTAGCTTAGAATGCATCCGCAATGCTTGCATCCCTTAGTTTGCAAGCTGCTTATGCTGGTCTCCATTACTTGAAACCAAGGATTCAAATAGCGGTCGCGGTCGCATTTTCAGTCATGTCGCATTTACCGCGATTGCGGCCATAGCAGGCACTATTGTGGGTATAACGGATATATCGGAAGGCAGTGCTACCGCTATTTTGCGGCCGCTATTTAAAACCCTGCTTGAAACTTCAATACTCCAACTCCATAATGCTGCAAGCATTTTACATTGATAAATCGGAATGAAACATAAGGAAAAAGATTGAAGATGGGGTTTTCTTGGTAGCTTACCCTTGCACTTTGGCCTTCAACGTGAACAAGGATTAGAATGTGTAACCCAGGGAAGCAGGAACAAGTTTTTTTTTTTGTTTTAGTGTGTGGTTGTGGGTGGGTGGGTGGGTGTTGGGGGGGGGGGGAGGGGGATGAGCTCCTTGAGTTTCAGTAAGGTCAAAACAGGGTAACCAACAGATTCAGTTTGTCGTAACCGGTTTTTGCCCGGGTACAAATTTTACTTGGTTGGAAAAAGTAATATGGATAAAAAATGGTGTTTTAGAAATATTTTGGAGTCGCCATTGACCTTTTTGGGTTAGGTAGATCGAATACCTAAAAATTATTTTTTAAAAGAGTTTTAAGAAAACACTAATAAAAAATGAACTGATCTGCGTTTATAACCAAAAATTCGTTCTTTTTAATAATAAAAAGGGATTCGTGGTCGGTTACGTTTAGGGAAGGATTAGCACCCCTACAACGCCCAAAATTGGTACTTTTTAATTATAAATTGTCTCTATTATTAAAATTTTAAAAATTTAAAAATATATTTAATTTATAATCTTATTATTTCAAAATTATATAAAAAATATTTATTTATTTAAAAATATCAGAAAAGAACTTCTAGGTGCCTTAAGACAGCTCTTTTCTTTGATATTGATAAATATTAATTTAAATAACATTGTTTAATTTTTAATTTTAAAATATCAGAATAGGACATCCAGTTGTATTAAGACTGTCCTTTTCTTTGATATTAAAAACAAATATTTAAAAATTATTATTTATTATATATATATTTATGAATATATAAAAATATTTAAAAATATAAACAAATAAAATAAAAATACCACTAAAACAATATATTTTAAAAACAGTAAAATAAATGAAAACATATAAAATAAATGACTAAATTACAGTAAAAATAAAATTAAAAATCTAATTCATAATTAATCAAAATTATAAGGATTAGACATGCTATTTCTTTATTTTATTTATTTAGTGACTAGAATAAAATTATCTAAAATTCGGATATTAGAATAAAATAAATTAAAAATATAAACTAAGGATTAAAATATTATTTATTAAAATTAAGGGATTAAATCTGTTATTTATCCTAAATATATTATTTTAATATAAAGGATTAAAATGAATAAAATTGAAATTCGAAGACTGAATTAAAAGTATTATAAACTCAATTTAGTGACTAAAATGTAAAGTTTACAAGTTTAGATGGCTACTGAAATGATTTAACTATTCTTTAATTACACGAATAGCCCTCCCCAAAACGACGTCGTTTGGGAAGGGCTATTTAATGCCCAAGACAGCCGGCCCTTCGGGCCATCTCTTTCATTTTTCAATTTTCATTCTCTCTCTAACTGAGAGAGAATGAACAAAGCTCTCCCCTCTCTCTAGCTTCCCTCACCGGAGGGAAGCCGGTCACCGGACGGCAACTGTCTGCCGTCGTGACCGGCACCGCCGGCCACCGCATCCGGTGGCCGGAAAATTTTATTTTTATACTATTGGGTAGATCGGATCGTCCTAAGGACGGTCCCGGTGTTCTCTTCCCTTAAAAAGCTCTGAATCGGAGCGAATCTACAAAAATACCTTCGGCGTTTCGAAGGTTCTGGCGAGATCCGGTGGCGGTTGGGGTTCTCCGATGACAGTAAGTTTCTCTTCTTTCTTTTTCTTTTCTTTCTTTTCTGTTTCTTTGTATCTATCTCTCTGTCTTCCTTTTTTTTTCTTGCTTGCAGATGGGGTGATGGCTTTATAGCCATCACCGGTGTTCGTCTCAGACCGGTCCGAAGAATGCCCTTTGGTGAGTCACCGGACTCCCAGTGGTGACTCACCGTTTGGGGAGACGTGTGCGGCTACGGCCGGCCTTCTGGACTCTTTGGTAGACGTGGTGGAGGCTGGAACGTTGGTGTGGCGGTGAAGTCTTCTGGAAGCAGCAGCGGCGGCGGTGGGACGTGTCCCTAGGGTATTGATACCCTAGGGTTTCCTCTGGCAAACTGTGGACCGTTGGATCAAACCAGATCCAACGGCTGGAATTGAAGACGGCGGCTGAGGAATTAGAAAACCCTAATCTGTTAGGGTTTGTTATGGGCTCGTTGGTTTGGGCCATCAAGTTTGTAATTGGGCTTCCATTTGGGCTTGTAATTTTAAATAATATATTAATAATAATAATAATTATAATTATAATAATAATAATAATAATAATAATAATTATAATAATAATAACATAAAAATGAAAAAAAATGAATATCTTCAGCTGCCCCTCTTTGCTTATTCTTAATAAGAATAGAGCAAAGATGAAAAGATGATAATTTTTTTTCATTTGATTTCACTTGATTAGTAGGGAGATGTTGAATAAATTCTTCTCTCTCGGTCATGTGAGTTCTTCTCATTATGAACTTTCCGCTGGGGATGATGTTGATCTTTTTCTTTTTGTGATAGAGTCATTCAAAAGGTTGAATAAGTTTTTCTCTGGAAAGGCTGATGCTAATCTATCTTCTTCTGTGATAGAACTATGCAAAAAGTTGAACAAGTTCTTCTTATTATAAACTTATTCTTCCTTCTTCAAATGAGTTCTTCTCATTATGAATTTCTCTGAAAAAGCTGCTTCATTAAGTGATGGATTTGAGCAAAAGGTTGAACAAATTCTTCTCATTGTGAATTTCTTCTTCCTTCTTCAGATGACGAGTTCTTCTCATTATAAACTCTCCCTGGCAATGTTGATCCATCAAATGATGAATTCAAACAAAAAGTTGAACAAGTTCTTCTCATTATGAACTTCTTCTTCTTTCTTCAAATGAGTTCTTCTCATTATGAATTTCTCTGAAAAAGCTGCTTCATTAAGTGATGGATTTGAGCAAAAGGTTGAACAAATTCTTCTCATTGTGAATTTCTTCTTCCTTCTTCAGATGACGAGTTCTTCTCATTATAAACTCTCCCTGGCAATGTTGATCCATCAAATGATGAATTCAAACAAAAAGTTGAACAAGTTCTTCTCATTATGAACTCGAACTGGAAAAGCTGATCCATCAAGTGATGGGTTTGAGCAAAAGGTTGAACAAATTCTTCTCATTGTGAATTTCTTCTTCCTTCTTCAGATGACGATTTCTTCTCATTATGAACTCTACCTGGCAATGTTGATCCATCAAATGATGAATTCAAACAAAAAGTTGAACAAGTTCTTCTCATTATGAACTTCTTCTTCTTTCTTCAGATGAGTTCTTCTCATTATGAACTCGAACTGGAAAAGCTGATCCATCAAGTGATGGGTTTGAGCAAAAGGTTGAAATTCCTGTTAAAAATTCAACATAGATGAAGATGAATGAAAATGCACCTATTTTGTAAACACCTAAAATATGATGCATGAATGTTGAGTTATTGGATTTCAGATTGGTGAATTGAGTATTTCTTCAATTGTAAAAACCCAATAGATCTTTCTTCTTCAAATCAGAGAATCTATCATCTTTGACAAATGTAGATATAATGTCACAAAACCTCTTGAGAATAAAACTCAATAGTATAGGCTCTTGAAAAGCTTGCATTCAGGCAACATGTTGATTCTGATAACAACTCATCTGATTATGAAGTGACCTTTCAAGATGATTTCACAGATATCGATAGTTCTTCTAATACCGAGAAATCTTGAATTTTGATTCTGATGAGGAGAATAAATTGTTATACTTGACAGAAATGGGATTCTCAGAGGCTGAAACTTCAAATAGCCCTGGAGAAATGTGGTCCAGATTCATCAATTGCAAAATTGATAGATTTTATATGTGCTGCTCAAATGACTAAAGATGCTGACGCACTTCTTCCGGTAAAAGATGGGAAGCCATTATGTGATGATCCTAATTACAAGAAAAGGCAAAACCTGGACTATGATTTTTGGGAAAGGAAGAAGCAAAAGAAGCTTGAAAAGAAACTTCTTAATGAAGACGATCATGCAGTTCATCTTTTAATTCCAATGATTGGTTCTGTATTTCCTACCAAACCAGATCAGATAACTCAAAGAACACTTCCAGAAGATGCTATGAGCACATTCATCTTCCAAATTCAATGATTGGTTCTGCCAAACCAGATCAGATAACTCAAAGAACACTTCCAGAAGATGCTATGAGCACATTCATCTTCCCAATTCAATGATTGGTTCTGCTAAACCAGATCAGATAACTCAAAGAACACTTCCAGAAGATGCTATTGGCAAATTTATCTTCTAAACTCAATGCTTGATTCTGTCCAATCAGATCAGATAACTCAAAGAACACTTCCAGAAGATGCTATTGGCAAATTTATCTTCTAAACTCAATGCTTGATTCTGTCCAATCAGATCAGATAACTCAAAGAACACTTCCAGAAGATGCTATTGGCAAATTCATATTCTAACTTCAATGATTGTTCTGTTAAACCAGGTCAGATAACTCAAAGAACACTTCCAGAAGATGCTATTAACACATTCATCTTCCCAATTCAATGATTGGTTCTGCTAAACCAGGTCAGATAACTCAAAGAACACTTCCA